TGCAAAACTTGTGAGTTTGGTAGTTGGTTAAATGTCCTTTGACCAGTATCTGGCCACTTGGAGTGCTTCTGGTGTTGCTGCAAGAAGGTCCTCCATTGTGCATGTAGCAGGGCTCAGGTTGCATTGCAGCAGGTGGTCAGTGGTTTGCTCTTCTCCACACTCATATGTCGTGGATTCCACTTTGTAGCCCCATTTCCTGAGGTTGGCTCTGCATCTCGTGGTGCCAGAGCGCAGTCTGTTCAGCGCCTTCCAAGTCGCCCCGTTTTCTGTGTGCCCAGGGGGGAGTCTCTCATTTGGTATCAGCCATTGATTGAGGTTCTGGGTTTGAGCCTGCCACTTTTGGACTCTCGCTTGCTGAGGTGTTCCAGCGAGTGTCTCTGTAGATCTTAGAAAACTATTTCTTGATTTAAGTCATGGCTGATACCCAAACAAGGGATGAGCTGGAGATGTCTCTGCCTTGGTCCTTTCACTATTGGCTGCTACTTCCCGGCGGATGTCAGGTGGTGCAATACCGGCTAAACAGTGTAATTTCTCCAGTGGTGTAGGGCGCAGACACCCCGTGATAATGCGGCATGTCTCATTAAGAGCCACATCCACTGTTTTAGTGTGGTGAGATGTGTTCCACACTGGGCATGCATACTCAGCAGCAGAGTAGCATAGCGCAAGGGCAGATGTCTTCACTGTATCTGGTTGTGATCCCCAGGTTGTGCCAGTCAGCTTTCGTATGATATTGTTTCTAGCACCCACTTTTTGCTTGATGTTCAGGCAGTGCTTCTTGTAGGTAAGAGTACGGTCCAGAGTGACTCCCAGGTATTTGGGTGTGCTGCAATGCTCCAGTGGGATTCCTTCTCAGGTGATCTTCAGAGCTCGGGATGCTTCTCTGTTCTTGAGATGAAAGGCACATGGGTTGGGCTAGAGAAGTGCAAGGAATTTCCCATGAGCTTCGGAAAGAGGCAAAACAAAACACAGCGGCAGTTTGAGATGGAAGGGTTGATCACAAGGCACATTTCAGCTTCCATTGTGTAGTCATAACTTTGTCAGGGCGGCCAAAATGGCTCCACATTCTTCTCTAGGAAGACCAGGTTGTGCATTCATTTATTCATTGCTGATGTCATTCATTCTGCCCTTGGCTTTGCCAAAGAGAAGAGAGAAGACTCTCCCTGAAGGCCAGGTGCCCTCTAGTGCCTTTCCAAGAATGCACAAGCAAAACTCATCACTTTAAGCCATGTAGGTTCCCAAAAATAAAAGTTGTTCTGACCTGAAAGTATTCCAACCCAGCCTCACACTTAACGGCTTCAGGTTAAAGATGACAGTGGAAATAAAGCGTTACTGCCCCTATAATGGCTGTACCAAAGAGGGAATTTCAATGGAAAACACTGGAAGGGTTTGGTGGGCATTGACCTTGCGTTTGGGAGTTGTAGTTCACCTATGTCCAGAGACCACTGTGGACTCACGCAATGGTGGATCTGGACCAAACTTGGCACAAATACTCAATATGCGCAAATGTGAACACTGGTGGAGTCTGGGGAAAATAGACCTTGACTTTTGGGAGTTGTAGTTGCTGGGATTTGTAGTTCACTACAATCAAAGAACATTCTGAACTCCACCAACAACAGAATTGGCTCAAACTTCCCACATGGAATCCCCGTGACCATCAGAAAATACTGTGTTTTCTGATGGTCTTTGGCGACCCCTCTGTCACCCCCTCGCGACCCCCTCAGGGGTCCCGACCCCCAGGTTGAGAAACACTGCAATACAGGTTCAGCATCCTTTACTGGCATTCCTCAATCAGTTCTCACCTATGGAGTGGTACTTGGAATCAGGGCCGTAGCCAGAAAAATAATTCGGGAGGGGTTGAAAATTTCGCGGGGGGGGGGGGGAGGTTGTTGAAACCTGCCTCCTAGCTGCAGCTACGCCCCTGTCAACCACCTCCACCAAGTCTGGCCTCCTTAATGAGAGCATTCAATACTCCCCCCGCCCCAACTTGGTTGCTTCGCTACATTGACTACTGCTGCAAGTAATGACAGTGTGAATAAATTATCAATATTTGCTTGAGATAGTGCTTGCAGTTCTGGAGGGACTCTTAATTTTTTGCGTCTCATAGACTTAGCTAAGTTAAAATTCATGAGTAAACAAGGTTTTTTTAACCTGAAATTTTGGGGGGGTGGTTGAACCCCTAAACCAGTGATTCTCAACCTGGGGGTCGGGACCCCTGAGGGGGTCGCAAGGTGGTGTCAGAGGGGTCGCCAAGGACCAACAGAAAACACAGTATTTTCTATTGGTCATGGAGATTCCATGTGGGAAGTTTGAGCCAATTCTGTCATTGGTGGAGTTCAGAATGTTCTTTGATTGTTGTGAACTATAAATCCCAGCAACTACAACTCCCAAATGTCAAGGTCTATTTTCCCCAGACTCCACCAGTGTTCACATTTGGGCATATTGAGTATTCGTGCCAAGTTTGGTCCAGATCCATCATTGTGTGAGTCCACAGTGCTCTCTGGATATAGGTGAACTACAACTCCCAAACTCAAGGTCAATGCCCACCAAACCCTTCCAGTGTTTTCTGTTGTGTGCCATGTTTGGTTTGGTTCAATTCCTTCATTGGTGGAGTTCAGAATGCTCTTTGATTATAGGTGAACTATAAATCCCAGCAACTACAACTCCCAAATTACAAAATCAATCCTCCCCCAACCCCACTAGCATTCACATTTGGGTGTATTGGGTATTTGTGCCCAGTTTGGTCCAGTGAATGAAAATGCATCCTGCATATCGATATTTACATTATGATTTATAACAGTAGTAAAATGACTGTTATGAAGTAGCAACGAAAACAACGTTATGGTTGGGGGTCACCACAACATGAGGAACTGTATTAAGGGGTCTTGGCATTAGGAAGGTTGAGAACCACTGCCCTAAACCCACCCACCCAGCTACAGGCTTTTGTAATGGTAGAGAATAGGCTTGGTTGATCAAGAAAAAAAATGGTTCTAAACTCGTTTCGTATATAGGGGCCGCTGGTGGCTCGATTTTGAAATTATTTCTGAAATTTTCTTTAAAAAAAATTGGAAATACCAGGAAATACGAATCGCTTCCTTTGTTTCGTTAATGGAAGGTGCTCCTCCCTCCAGAACCATTAAAATCTCGCAGTTTCCCTTCCTTCCCTTGCGGCGAGCTTCTCTCACCTTTCCTTCCCTTCCCGGCAAGCTGTCAGTCATGCAGAAGGGAGAGGTGGGCGTGGCCAAGCACAGCCCTCCTTGGAGGCCTCGCCCCCAGCGACCAAGCACAGCGCTCCTGCTTGGCCATGCCCACCTCTCCCTTCTGCATGACGGACAGCTTGCCAGGAAGGGAAGGAAAGGTGAGAGATTTTAAAACTAACACTTTTAAGCAAGCGTTCTTAGAGAGGTGGGCGGGGCCAAGCACAGCGCTCCTTGGAGGTTGCTGGGGGCGTGGCCTTCAGGAACAGCTGTTCTTACACACCCCCACCTCCTTCCTCTTTGCATCGGCGGCTTTGCCAGGTGGGCGTTGCCAGGTGGGCGGTGGCGTGGGCACCTATCAAGTTCAATCTATACAAGAAGTGGTCTGCAAGCACTTTGAAACAAATGCGGTCATCACTAATAGTCAACATGGATTTATCAAAAACAAGTCATGCCAGACTAATTTGATCTCTTTTTTCGATAGAGTTACAAGCTGGGTAGATGCGGGGAATGCCGTGGATGTAGCGTACCTGGATTTCAGTAAGGCCTTCGACAAGGTCCCCCATGACCTTCTGGCAAGGAAACTAGTCCAATGTGGGCTAGGCAAAACTACGGTGAGGTGGATCTGGAATTGGTTAAATGGACGAACCCAGAGGGTGCTCACCAATGCTTCCTCTTCATCCTGGAAAGAAGTGACGAGCGGAGTGCCAGCAGGGTTCCGTCCTGGGCCCGGTCCTGTTCAACATCTTTATTAATGACTTAGATGAAGGGTTAGAAAGCAGGATCATCAAGTTTGCAGACAACACCAAATTAGGAGGGAGAGCTAATACTCCAGAGGGCAGGAGAAGAATTCAAAATGATCTTGACAGATTAGAGAGATGGGCCAAAACTAACAAAATGAAGTTCAACAGTGACAAATGCAAGATACTCAACTTAGGCAGAAAAACGAAATGCAAAGATACAGAATGGGGGACAATGCCTGGCTTGAGAGCAGAACGTGTGAAAAAGATCTTGGAGTCCTTGTGGACAACAAGTTAAACATGAGCCAACAATGTGATGTGGCGGAAAAAAAAGCCAATGGGATTTTGGCCTGCATCAATAGGAGCATAGTGTCTAGATCTAGGGAAGTAATGCTACCCCTCTATTCTGCTTTGGTTAGACCACACCTGGAATATTGTGTCCAATTCTGGGCACCACAATTCAAGAGAGATATGACAAGCTGGAATGTGTCCAGAGGAGGGCGACTAAAATGATCAAGGGTCTGGAGAACAAGCCCTATGAGGAGCAGCTTAAGGAGCTGGGCATGTTTAGCCTGAAGAAGAGAAGACTGAGAGGAGATATGTTAGCCATGGAGGAAGCCACAGGAAGGAAGGAGCAAGCTTGTTTTTGCTTCCTTGGAGACTAGGACGCAGAACAATGGCTTCAAACTACAAGAGAGGAGATTCCATCTGAACATGAGGAAGAACTTCCTGACTGTGAGAGCCGTTCAGCAGTGGAACTCTCTGCCCCGGAGTGTGGTGGAGGCTCCTTCTTTGGAAGCTTTTAAACAGAGGCTGGATGGCCATCTGTCAGGGGTGGAATATTCCTGCTTCTTGGCAGGGGGTTGGACTGGATGGTCCATGAGGTCTCTTCCAACTCTTTGATTCTATGATTCTATGATGATGATGATGATGATGATGATGATTAGACTGCAGTTCCTGAAGGCCACGCCCCCAGCATTTACGATTCACTGCCGGAAGTCGTAAGGAAGATGGCGGACGCGGCTTCGATATGGCAAAAACACTTCCGGGTTGCCAAAACCGTCGATATCGCTTCTAAAGGTATTTTATTTACGATTTCATAACAATATTAGAAATTAACGAGCTGGATCAACCAAGCTAGTAGACAACCCAGTCTGTTCAGCCTTTGTAGGATCTTCTTGTCATCCTTGCAGATGACTTCAAAATTATATTCATAATACATATACAGTGCTGCACCCAACACTTAGCAAGGTTTGTACCTTGGTAAGAACCAAGGTACAAACAGAATTGTGGAGTAAAACATATTCCCTTTCCGCACCACGGCACCGCTTTGAACAGGTGCTACTTCCACCTCCTGTAAGGCATTGCTGACTCAGAACAGTGTTGTATTGCTGTGGAATCCACCACTAACATAAACACAGAGGTACGACTTATGGGCTGTACTTTGTTTTTGAAATTGCAAGCCATGCATTGTGTAAGAATACAGGGCACTTTGACTTTGCAGAGATGGTGGTGATTGGATTCACAGGTGTGCTTGACTGGGATAAGGATGCAAGTTGGATGACATGTAATGACATGACAAACAGATCCAATGCAAGAATCTCTTTTAGCAGCAAAATTAGAAGAACATCCACCCAAGCAAGATCCCAGTGTGGCTTTTGCCTGCCTTCCGTCCGTTTTCGGTGACTACGAAGTACCCACCCATTGTGTACTACTGTCTCTTCCGCATGCAGGCCTCAAGCCTCCCCAGCTCTTCATACGAATGGTAGAAAGCATCAAAGTCTTGGGCGCCCCAGCCGCTCCAGGCAGCCAGGCAGCACTCCTTGGTCTCATTCTGAAAGCAGCACACAACGCGCTCCTTGGCCAGGGTGGCGTCCACCAGGGACCTGGAAACCGAGAGGGAGCCATGTTAAAGAAACGGATTATGAACACAAAACAAACAGGAAACTGGGAACGTGTCAGGTTTTACAATGTATTGTAATGTAATATAGCTGAGTCATGCACTGCTAATAGGCTTCTATTGGAAATGCTGAGTCATGCATTAACTGTATATAGAACTTCATTTGGGGAATGTGTTCTGGCCTAGTCCAGGTGATTGTGAATGATGTAATCCTGGGTCTGAGTTAAGTTAACGAGTTTGGAACCAATCAGAGATTGCTATGTGTAATTGTATAGAATTGTATATAAGGAAGTCATGTACAGTGTATACTCTCTCCTTGTGCTGTGATGCTGTTTGCCAAAGGCTCTGTGTAATTTATTAAAGGAACCTATCTGCTAAGACAAGATATAACCGTGTGCTGTGGTAAGTTTGTAGTGTCATCTAGATTGGAGGGGAAAACAATAGTAAAACTGACAATGGCCAGGCATGTGCTCAAGTGCCTGTGGAGAGTTCCAGAGTGACTGCAGTTTGTGGGAGCAGTTGACTGAAAATACTGTGCAGGAAGAAGCTACTGGAAAGCGCTGCAGTTGTGCAACTGATCTGCTGCTGAATTGTGAAATGAAGCTCAACAGAACGGCTTGGGGGGGGGGGGATGCTTGGGTGGTGACCTTTTAAGGATGCTGCAAGAAGGCAACGAGTCAGAAGTATGCAAAGCCAGAGAGGTGGGTGACTACCACTGGTGGGGCAGCGGGACTTTGGAGTCTCTGAGTTGTTGTGCAGCTGCAACAATGCTCCTTCATTTGACTTTGTTGGGCGGGGCTGCTGAGAGTTGTGGGCCTAAATGTTTGCAAGGCCACAATTGTTGTTGTTGTTATATTTATTTATACCTTGCTTTATCTTCCCCAAAGGGGGCTCAAAACAGCTTAACCCTGGAAGGCTGGGTTGCAAGGTCCCTGTCTGCAAGTGGTCTCCCTCATATCTGTGCATGGAGAACCGAGGCAAATGGGCTTGTACCAGAGCTGCAAGGAAAGCCGACTCAGGATCACTTGGAGGACGCCTGGCTCAACTAGATTCCACTCCACATGGGAGATGCTGAGAATTGGGCCCTTTTGCATGGAGAGCGGAGCAGCAGGGATCCTCCTTCAACCTGTTCCCCAGACCTCCCCCTTCCCATTCCTCTTCTTTACCTACCCATAGGCAGCCAGCTCTGCAGCCTTCAGCACAGCAATGACTCTGCCCCGGTGAGAGGCGGCTTCCTTCTCCAGCGCAATCACAATGATATCCCCTCCTCGTCTGGAAAGGGAAAGCAATAGGGTTTCTGTGTTGGTACGGCTGTACCAGAAGCTCAAATTTCCTTTCTTTGTATAGTTAATTGCTTGTGTTTGATTTGAGTTGCGCCCCTTCGTCCAAGGAGGAAAAACCCAACAGAAAACAAACTGTCTTTTAGCAAAGAAATATTTATATAAAGGTATTTACAAATAAAGCAGAATCCTTGGAATATCCAGCTGTATCCAGCTGCTTCCACACAATGACTTCCACACAAAGTCCTTATCTCCAGATAAGACGTCACAGTCTTGCTCTTCAGACGTAGCAATAATACACCTCTGGCAACTCGAAACCTATTTCCAGCCTCAAGTAACACAATGTACTTAGTCTCTATTAGTAGTACTTCAACTCCCACAGGTGGCTTGATTATTGCTGGCCATACAATGATTGGACATGATTCTTACAAGCACTTACCCATTTTTCACTTAAGAAATGACCTAAACAATATAAAACTCTGACAGAGGGTGTCTTGGAGTGGACTCAACTGGGGACTGATTCGTGCAGCCAGTTTTGGAAAATACATTCCTTCCACAAACTCTGGGAGGGAGGCCTTTTCTGGTCTCCAAATCCTAAACACCTACTTACTTACAACAGATGCCTAACATAAATGACATTGGAGGGACAAGACCCTGCAATGCACAAAGTCACCTCTGTCCCTGTTTCAAGCCTGGAAGCAACATTCGAGAGGTCAGTAATGTCAAACACAACCTCAGAGGTGCATTTACATCCTCTTCCTCCCATGCGATGCATGCCGCCTTGTGCCAGCAATGCCCTCTGCCTTAGACAAACAGAACATTTCAACCTTCCTGGACACGTAATAAGGCATTTGAATATGGTAGTCGTTGAACAAGGAATTATGAAAGAAGTCTAGGCAGAGAAACACCATGCATTCCAATCCATAAATACAGGACACTGCATATGTTAATGCAAGAGCATTTGCTACCACACGGGCACACAAGAAGGGTCTTCTCAGAGAGAGGTTTGAAAGAATTAACTCTCTGCAACCTGTCTAAAAAGGAACTTTATGCTTAGGAAAGTATGGGCCTGCCAATTATCTGCTTCAAACTGGAATATATGAGTCCCCACTGCCAGATAACCTGGGATGAGCAGATAATCTGGGATCAGACTCTGGGACAAAAGGGCAGTGTGGAAGGGCCCTAAGTTGCATGATGCTGTCCTCAGAATATAATTCTGAATTTGGGAAGTCAGCCCTTTAAAGTTGTTTACATAGCAATAGAAGTGTAAAAAGCACAACAGTTTTTAGGCCAGTGATGGGCAACCTTTTGAGCTTGGTGTGTCAAAATTTGCCAAAGACCTCAGCATAACTTGAGTGGAGTGTCACTTTGAGAAAAAAACCCATAATTTTGCAATATTTATAGTTTTAATAAGAAAAATGTATAATCCATGCTGAGTTATGGAGTGAACAATGCTCAAATGTGTAGATGTTAAATTTGTAGAGCCTTTTACAAATTTAAGGATGGAATTAGATTGGCTCTTATAAGGTGTATTTCTCTGTATGTGGCCACATATGTCTGTGTTTCATCAAAAATAGCCATGCGTGTCAGTGGTGACACACGTGTCATAGATTCACCATCATGGTTTTAGGCAGTTTTCATGTGGCCAAAGCCACTTACCTGGGGATCCATATGAGGTCTTTCACAGGGAGGATTCTCACGGCTTGCAGGGAACTAATGTCTTCACTGGCCGGTGCCAAATCCTCTACAGGCCTCACCACGGGAAGAAGGCTTTGCTCCTGAGGCTTTTCTAGTTCCTCACCATCTGTTGAGAAAGGCACACTGGAAGAGCTTGTGGGGGAGCTTGGCAGGCTTGAGAAGGATCTCATCATCTGGTTGGCAGGCAAGGGCGAGTGAGAGGACACCGAGCAGTAGTCCGTCAGAGAGTCCTGGTGGTTGAGTATTTGGATCCCCAGCTCTTGGCTTTGCAGAATGGCCGTGCCTGCTAAAGAGCTTCTCTCTGGAACCGTGCTCCCACGTGCAGTCAACGTGGTGGGAATCGAGGTGGGCGGTGGCTGAAGGGCGAACATATCCCGCAAGGGACTTTGGTCCCCACAGAAATAGCGGGCGCAGAGCTGGTAGCTAGCGGTGTAGTACATCACCAGGAAGTTGGTTGCGTCATCCAGGCACCAGGCCACTTCCTCCCCACCACACGCGGAGCTGCATGCAATGGAAACCACCACGGAGGGGGGCCTGTAGGGTTCCAGCCGCCTCGTGATCTCCATGGCTGCACAGTCAATGACCAGCAGGCCGGGCCCATTGCTGTACCAGACTTCTGTCCCATTGTTAGCAGTCTCCATCGCCCTTACGGGGTAAGGATTCTGCCGAGGGTCATCGTCGCTGAGCCGGAACCTGGAGCGGTTAGCTGTGTGGGAGCACAGGTAGCGACAGCTGTCCTCCGGGACGCCTTGCGACTCTTGGAAAACAGCTATAAGGCCATCTGACAAGCCCGCCAACACCAGGTAAGAGTTCTAAAAGTGGAAAAGAGTGGGAAAATAACTATTTTGCATCCTACAGCAGAGCTTTCCAGACTCTATGTCCTGACATGTTCCTGCAACGTTAATAATAATAATAATAATAATAATAATAATACTTTATTTGTATCCCGCTACCATCTCCCCAAGGGACTCGGTGCGGCTTACATGAGGCTGAGCCCAATAGAACAATACAAGCAATAAACAACAATACAAAAATTAAAAAAAAACATAGACAATAAAAATATACAACATTATCAATAAGACAACACACAATTAAAAACAGTGGGAAGGCCAAATGTACAGTTAAAATTGGAAATAATGCTGGGACATGGACGAAAAGGTGATAGTGGTGTTTGTGGAAGGGCATATGAGCAGACCTAAAGAAATGTAAAGTGCTTTGGAGGACAAAGTGCTATGGGATCATTATTCCGGGAAGGCACACTGGAACAGCCACGTCTTCAAGCTCCTCCTGAAGACTGCCAAAGTTGGGGCCTGTCTGATGTCTTTAGGGAGTGAGTTCCAGAGTCGAGGGGCCACCACCGAAAAGGCCCTCTCTCTCGTCCCCACCAAACGCGCCTGCGATGCTGGTGGGATCGAGAGCAGGGCCTCTCCGGATGATCGAAGGGATCGTGTAGGTTTGTATATGGAGATGCGGTCACGCCGGTAGGTGGGTCCCAAACCGTTCAGGGCTTTGTAGGTAAGAACCTGAACCTTGAATTGGCCCTTCCTCCAGCTTAAGTGGCTGAGGGGGGAAAGGAAAGGGCCTGAGCCTGTTAGGAATTGTGGGAGCTGAAGTCCAAAACACCTGGAGCGAGGGCCCAAGTTGGCCAATGCCTGTGACTTGACTATGTCCACGTATTGAAGGATGTTTTCCACGTACTGAAGGAATTGTGGCAGTTGAATTCCAGAGCACCTGGAGAGAGGGCCCAAGTTTGCCCATGTCTGTGTTAGTGTGTATCAGCTGCAATGTTTACGTGTGTTGCATAAACATAGCGAGAAATGACAAAATTCTTGGAAATGTGTGTTAGTATCTTAAAAATAATATATTTAAAAATATGTAAAAATGGAAGGCTTTCATGACATATGCTGGGTCCCCATAGATTTCATTACTTTTGCGAACACCTGTACTTTATTAATGGCTCAACTTACCTTTCTCGCAATGGGCACTGCAAGGAAACAGGTGACAACTGCTGGAGTGTCAACACCTTTTTGAGGAGCATTCAGAGGACACATGCCGCGTAAACCGTACACATAAATCTTCTGATCCTACAGAAGAGCAAAAGAGAGAAACCTCACATCAATAGTTATAACCACGCAGTTGCAAACAAAAGAAACATGGAAGAAAACAGTGAATGCACATATATCAGAAGTCAAAATATGTCTACTAATTTTTTTCCAGAAAGATATTTTTAATTCATCTTGGAGGAAATAATCCTTCTTATATGTCCCAGTATTTGGCTCATTGTAACCAAGCCCTTAAAAGGATAAATCTCCATACATTCAACCCAGCAATGGATGGGGAAACTCATTGGAAGTAGGGGCCGGGGTTAAACTGTTAGCACAGTGGGTTAAACTGCTAAGCTGCAGAAAAACCTGCTGATCGAACGGGTTGGCAGTGCAAGCCTGGGCCAGAGTGAGCACCCGCTGCCAGCCCCAGCTCCCTGCCTAGTGAGCAGATCGAAAACGGAAATGTGAGTAGATAAATAGGTACCGCTTTAAGCGGGGAGGTAATAAAAGGCACCCATAAGGACACGCTGGCGATTCGATCAGGAGGATGTCTATGGACAACAAAGCTCCTCAGCATGGAAGAGAGACAGCACCCGCCCCCCATGGCCAGAGTGAAGCATAGCCTCCAATGCCAGAGATGTAAAAAGACAGGAAAGCCTATACCTCTATTTATGTATTGTCTGTCCTTGTTCTGGAACAGCTGTTCCAGGAGCTCCAGATTTATTTGCTGTGTTTAAATGTTTGTGTGCAATCCCATGCTTGGGATTTTGCAGCAGAGGGTTTCCTGCTATAATTTGCATTTATAGGGTAAGCCACCTGCCAATTATAGTTAGGATTCCTGGTCCCGTCCCTTTTTTGCCTTTTGGATGGACGGGGCCATTTTTCAGTTAGTTACAGCAAGGGAAGCCAAGGCAGAGGATGCGTACAGACGTTCCTCCTGTATAAAGGCTTCGTCTTTTAAGACTTCCTGGGGAAGTACAGATTAAAGGCCTCTACAGATTCCCAAAGGGTTCCAGGGAACAGCTTCACAGCCCAGAGGACCTCCGGAGGGAATAACAGCTCTTCATCTTCAGCTAAGTGATTTCAAGTCTAGTGTTACGTCTGTTCAGTTCTGAGACGCAGTTCAGGCGGTAGCAGACTCAAACCAGTCAGGTTTAAGTTCACAGCAGCCTGGGAGGAGCTTTAAAGGGGAATTTTTCTGTTAAACAAAGTTTCTTGAAGATAGTGCCTGTTTCCTGTAAACAAGACTGCAAGAGCCAACAGACTATTTAGAAATCTTACAATTCCTGCTTGTTCATTAACAAAGACTGTTGTATTTAAGCTTAAGTCTCCTAAAGCCTGTTTAATAGGAAAAATTCCTCTAAAGGTTCTTTCTCGGGCCCCCGGGCTTCCCGCTGGATGCAAGCCTTGCATCTTCTCTTAGAAGCATTTAATTTCAGCTCCAGCGGTGACAGAACAGTCCTTGTTAATTGTATAATGACATTGAATGTTTGCTGTATATGTGTTCTGCAATCCGCTCTGTGTCCTCTTGGGGAGCTAGAGTAGAATATAAATAAAGTATGTTGTTGTTGTGGTTATATTTTTTGAGGCCTGGTTTCCATATTCTCTTCAAAGAGTAACATCATATAATTGGAGATGCAGATGACACGAGACACAAGCTAAGCAGGAAATGTGAAAAGAAATGGAAGTTTGGCTTTCAGGTGGAAACATTATTTCTTCTGTTTCACTTCCAAAATTTCAGCAAAGGGACACAAACTTTGCAACTTTGATTCCAGGACCACGGTTGTGTCAATGAGAAGAGTCACTAAAGTAACACTCTGGATAGAAATACCTCTGTGGCCGTCCATAGGGAGCTCTGGACTTTCAGTTGGCAGCACAGCTTCATTCCCGGGCAGCTTAACTTTGCAACTTCTATCAATCCTTTCTCTGTATTCACAACAGTATAGTTTCTGGAATCAGGAAACAGAATTCATTTTAATAGCCTTGACTCTCCAAGTGGCCTCGTCAAGAAGCAAGCAAGGAAAAATTGGATGCGTATCGCTCCAAATGCTTCTCCATGGGTCTCAGAGTGGGAGTCGCCAAGCAGTATCCACCCATCTTCTTCAGATATATAAACAATTTGCAATTAGTGTGTTGGGGGGAAAAAAAACCAAATTCAAATCCTTACTCGGGCCAACCACTTTTTCACCTGAGTCCACTTCAGAGTTTTAAGATAAAACTCGAGAGCAGTACGTGTGAAAAAGATCTTGGAGTCCTCGTGGACAGCAAGTTAAACATGAGCCAACAATGTCATGTGGCGGCAAAAAAGCCAATGGGATTTTGGCCTGCATCAATAGGAGCATAGTGTCTAGATCTAGGGAAGTCATGCTACCCCTCTATTCCGCTTTGGTTAGACCACACCTGGAATATTTTGTCTAATTCTGGACACCACAATTGAACAGAGATATTGACAAACTGGAATGTGTCCAGAGGAGGGCGACTAAAAGGATCAAGGGTCTGAAGAACAAGCCCTATGAGGAGCGGCTTAAGGAGCTGGACATGTTTAGCCTGAAGAAGAGAAGGCTGAGAGGAGACATGATAGCCATGTATAAATATGTGAGAGGAAGCCACAGGGAGGAGGGAGCAGGCTTCTTTTCTGCTTCCCTGGAGACTAGGACGCGGAACAATGGCTTCAAACTACAAGAAAGGAGATTCCATCTGAACATGAGGAAGAACTTCCTGACTGTGAGAGCTGTTCAGTAGTGGAACTCTCTGCCCCGGAGTGTGGTGAAGACTCCTTCTTTGGAGGTTTTTAAACAGAGGCTGGATGGCCATCTGTCAGGGGTGCTTTGAATGCAATATTCCTGCTTCTTGGCAGGGGGTTGGACTGGATGGCCCATGAGGTCTCTTCCAACTCTATGATTCTATGATTCTATAATGCTGCCCTTCTGTTTCGCCTTGATTAGACCACACCTGGAATATTGTGTCCAATTCTGGGCACCACAATTCAAGAGAGATATTGACAAATTGGAATGTGTCCAGAGGGTGACTAAAATGATCAAGGGTCTGGAGAACAAGCCCTATGAGGAGCGGCTTAAGGAACTGGGCATGTAACAAGGAGGAGGGAGCAAGCTTGTTTTCTGCTTCCCTGGAGAGTGGGACATGGAACAATTGGCTTCAAACCACAAGAAAGGAGATTCCATCTGAACATTAGGAAGAACTTCCTGACTGTGAGAGCCGTTCAGCAGTGGAACTCTCTGCCCCGGAGTGTGGTGGAGGCTCCTTTTTTGGAGGCTTTTAAACAGAGGCTGGATGGCCATTGGCTAGGGGTGCTTTGAATGCAATATTCCTGCTTCTTGGCAGAACGGGGTTGGACTGGATGGCCCATGAGGTCTCTTCCAACTCTAGGATTCTATGATTCTATAAAAGGAGGAAAGAAAACACCAGGCATGCTATTCTAGGGCTCCACCTAATGCAGGTTGAACTGGATTAATTCTAATGCAGGTTGAACTGCCAGTGCAGACTCATATAATGCATTTCAATCTGCATTATGTGAGTCTACAATGATCATATAATGCAGTTCAAACTGGATTATAGGAGTTTATACTAACCATATAAAGCAGGTCAATCTGCATTAGATGGCAGTGTAGGTGTGGCTTTGGGAGAGAAAAAGTGAGATATAAATGCAATCCACAAGAGAGATGATATTTTTTCACTACACTTCCCAGCAATACTGCCTACAAATCACCGCAATAATAACAACGATTTTTATTACCGTATATACTCGAGTATAAGCCAACCCGACTATAAAGCCGAGGCACCTGTGAGGTCTGTTGGAACTAGGAAAATGGGTTTATATACCGTATATACTCGAGTATAAGCCGACCCGAATATAAGCCGAGGCACCTAATTTTACCACAAAAAACTGGGAAAACATATTGACTCGAGTATAAGCCGAGGGTGGGAAATGCAGCCACTACAGGTAAATTTCAAAATAAAAATAGATACCAATAAAATTACATTAATTGAGGCATCAGGAGGTGAAATGTTTTTTAATATTTACGTAATTTGAGATAAGACTGCCCAACTCTGATTAAATCATTACATATCTTCAATGTAAATGTACTTATCCTTACAAGCCCTGCGGAAGGCTGATCAGTCCTGCAAGGCACAAACTTCTGGTGGCAGAGTATTCCAGAGTTACTTTTACTTAGGCGATCCCTCGTTTTCCGAGGATGATTGTCTTCCAATATTCTTGTGGGTCCATATGTGGCTGTGGAGCCCTATTCTTGCTCTGCATCTTCTTCCGCAGTGAGGGCATTGGTTTCCAGGTGGAAGGTGGTCTCGGTCGGGGTTGGCTTGACGCGCCTTCCTCTTGGCACGTTTCTCTTTCGCCCTCCATTCGTGCCTCTTCAAATTCTGCAGCACTGCTGGTCACAGCTGACCTCCAGCTGGAGTGCTCCAGGGCCAGGGCTTCCCAGTTCTCGGTGTCTATGCCATAGTTTTTAAGGTTGGCTTTGAGCCCATCTTTAAATCTCTTTTCCTGTCCTCCAACCCGAAAAAACCCACAAGAACCTAGTGATTCCTGCCATGAAAGCCTTCGACGATACCTGATTAAATCATTATTCCAACCTTCTTCAGGGTGAATGTACTTACACATTCTTCCAACAATAATAAAGAGAGTAAAATAATAAATGTAATAATAATAATAATAATAATAATAATAAGTAAAATAATGGAAATGCAATAATAACAGTAATAATAGAGTAAAATAATCCATGTAATAATAATCATAAATAGTGTAAAATAATAAATGTAATAATGATATAGTAAAATACTGCAAACATAACAATAATAAAGAGAGTAAAATAATACATGAAATAAAAATAATACTAATAATAGAGTAAAATAAGAAATAACCTTGACTCGAGTATAAGCCGAGGGGAGCTTTTTCAGCCTAAAAAAGGGGCTGAAAAACTAGGCTTACACTCGAGTATATACAGTTTTTCCCCCCTATATCTGATTTTTCTCCTGGTTCAATGCAACTTAAACATACGCCTTGCCTTGCCTCCTTTGCCCAGAGCAGCAGTGCCTGCTTTTTCGTAGGTTAAGGAGAAGTAACTCTCATCATTGCATCTGAATACAGCAAGGAAAGTTTTTCAACAGTGACACATGAGTGGTTTTCCATGGAGGAACAGAGACTTTGTTTTGCCATTATTCACAATACAATAACCGCTTGTGTTTGCTGTGGAACCCACAAAGCAGTCATAAATGGATCATTAATGCTGGATCTCTTCACCAGTTTGAGCACATTTAAAGATTGGAAGCAGATGTGCCTCTTGGTTGTTGTTACTCTCCTGCTGTAAACAAACACACACACAGCACAAGACTGCCACCCAGACACTTGAAAAGAAACAAATGTCCATCATCAGCATGTGCGGTCTTTCTCTCATATTTATTACATACATTTCTGCGCATGCCATATCCGCGCACAGGTGTTTTAAGATCTAGTCAGAGGCTGCTGTGGTTTTTTTTATATATACTAGCTGTACCCGCCACACGTTGCTGTGGCCAATCTTCCCTCCCTCTTTCTCTCCTTCCTTCTTTCCCTCTTTTTCTTTCCCTTCTTCTTCCTTCCTTCTCTACCTGTTTCTTTTCTCGCTTCCTTTGCTCTTTGGTTCCATCCTTCCTTGTCTCTTTCCTTCCTTCCTCTCCCTCTTTCTCTCTTTCGTCCTTCTCTCCTTCCTTCCCTCTTTCACTTTTTTATTTTCTCTCCCTCTTCTTCTTCCTTCCTTCTCTACCCTTCTTTCCTTTCTCTCCTTCCCTCCTTCTTCCCTTCTTCTCTCCCTCCTCCTTCTCTACCCTTCTTTCTTTCCTTCCTTCTCTCCTCCCTTCCTTCTCTACCCTTCTTTCTTTTTTCCTTCCTTCTTCCCTTTCCCCTCTTTCTCTCCTTTCTCTCTTCCTTCCTTCTCTATCTTTCTTTCTTTCCTTCTTTCTCTCCTTTCCTCCTTCTTTCCTTTTTTCTCCTTCCTTCTCTCCTTCTTTCCTTTCCTTCCTTCCTCTTTTCTTTTCTCTCCCTTCCTTCTCTACCTTTTTTTTTCCTTCTTTCTCTCCTTTCCTCCTTCTTTCCCTTATTCTCTCCCTCTTTCTCTTCCTCCTTCTCTCCCTCCTTCCTTCTCTACCCTTCTTTCTTTCCTTCCTGCTCTCCTTCCATCCCTCCTTCTCTCCCTTCCTTTGTCCTTTCTGTGTATGTGTTTTCTGTGTATATATGCATATATGTGTGTATATATGTGTGTTTGTGTTTGTGTGTGTGTGTGTGTGTGTTTTTGCGCATGCATTGTATTTTTTTTGCTTTTTAAGTCCCTTCTGCTGTGTTTTTCAGTGTTTTTATGAGTGATGGTCACTTGTTGGCCTGAGAGTGTCTTGTGTCCAAATTTGGTGTCAATTCGCCCAGTGGTTTTTGAGTTATGTTAATCCCACAAACGAACATTGCATTTTTATTTATATACACTAGCAGTCACCTGCCACGCATTGCTGTGGCCCAGTCTGGTGATCTGGAAAATAAAGTAATGAGAAAGTGTTGGTTTCTAATCTATGTAATGTAATTATGCTTGTGGGTAAATGGTATTTCTTGCCGTTTCTTTGCCAGTGTTGATGTGGAGATTGTCTGGTTTGCCTACTCTGGAACACGCAACATATAATTGTCCTTCTTTAGGGGTTCCTTTCAAATCTTTGTCACTACATCTGTCATATACATATATGTGTGAGTGTGAATGGCTGGATGGCCCTTTGTCAGGAGGGATTTGATTATGTTTTCTTGCCCTGGTGAAAGGAGTTGGACTGGATGGCCTTAAGGCAGCATTTCTCAACTTGGGAAGTCAACCCCCCTGGGGAGGGTCAGAAAGGTCACCAAAGACCACCAGAAAACACAGAATTTTCTGTTGGTCATGGGGGTTCTGTGTGGGATGTTTGGCCCAATACCATTGTTGGTGGGGTTCAGAATGCTCCTTGATTAAAGGACACAACAACTGGCTCCTTTGTGCTGCATGGAAGAAGACAGAAAGGACTCAAACACTTGCCTGGTATCTTCCTTCCCGTCCCAGAACACAACGGTGTTCTCTTGTCCTTGGGAAGAGAAGAAAGACGACTGTTGTCCACACGGCAACAGGTACAGGAAGGTTGCAAAGGCGGGGTCCTTCATCCGTCCTACCACGGTGGTGGCCAATGGACGCTGGATCAAAGAGAGAAGAAGAGCAACCTTGACACATAGCAGAGATGTGGAGGGATGTCACGGAAAAAGGCAGGATATACATAATAATAATAATAATAATAATAATAATAATAATGTGTGCCCTGGGTTCATCACAGTTGTGCTTCCTGAAGGTGCACCTGCATAATAATAACACTGTTCTACAAATTTTCAGTTTTTCTCAGTTGCGGAAACGAAATGTGCCGTTTCTTAATAAATTTAACATGCTGAATTCAAATATAATAATTAAATGTGTTAATTGGCTCTGGTTTTTATGCAACAACTATTTCAATTTTCTCCACAATAGGTAATTCGTTAATATTATGATAATGCGCCTAACCTTACTGCATGTATATAAACCGTGAATATTTACTAAATTTTAGTCAAATTATATTGCCAATAGTTTATACATGAGAAATATTTATTTAATTAGTCTATTGTTTATGTTTGTGCAGCAAGAAACTATATTAGTAGGCCTAATGCAGTTGAAAAGTCTGAAAGTTTAAATGTCGCTTTAATCGTGACTTTAGTTTATATCCTGTTTGCTTCTCTTGACTTTTCTTTTGTATTCAAGGAAAGGATTGTCTCTTACAATGCTCCAGCAGTAGTCTGACAGCATTGACGGAGTCCATTTACCTTGATATCTTTTTTCCATAGTGCTTTATTTACACACATGCGAGGAGGCATAACTACAGTAAAAAGAACAATGTAAAACGATGTTTAACGATACTGTCTCAGTCTTCAACTGACTGACCCTCACCGTTCAAAAGTCTGGCCTTATATAGGGCTTTCTGGCTTTTGCACACGGCACTAATACTGCGTCATCAAACTTTCTAGAGTATTCTAGAATCTTATTTATTTATTTATTTACTATGCTTATATACCGCTGTATCTCAAGCCCGAGGGCGACTCACAGCGGTTCACAAACAGTAAAGACAGTAAAAACAGCAATAGTTCAATAAACAATGACAATTAATTTACACATTTTCCATTAATAACTAATAAGCAATCCCAATACACAATTATTACAAACCCCATCCCCAATCGCCTCATCATCCATGCATGATCCAAATTCGTCGTCCATTGTTCCGTTCCTATGTTCAATTACCAGATTGCACTGAATTACTCAAACGCCTGCACAAACATCCAGGTCTTCAACTTTCTACGGAATGCCATGAGAGATGGTGCCAGCCTAATGTCTATAGGAAGGGCGTTCCACAGCCGAGGAGCCACCACCGAGAAGGCCCTATCTCTCGTCCCCGCCAACCGTGCTTGGGAGGCCGGCGGGATCGAGAGCAGGGCCTCCCCGGAAGATCTCAAAGTCTGGGTGGGTTCATAGGCCGAGATGCGGTCAGATAGGTATCTTGGGCCGGAACCGTTTAGGGCTTTATAGGCCAATTCTGGCTTTTGCACACGGCACTAATACTGCGTCATCTAGAATCTTCCATAGTGTAAGTCGCAACATGCATTTTTTCAACCATACGTGATCACATGATTGCTTATATCATAAAAACTAGAGCCAATATACATTTTTAAATGTCATTTTCATTTTCAGCACCCCAAAATCATAAAAGAACAACTATTTTCAGGCCCGCAACTTTTTCTCCGTTGAACAGTGTAATAATAGCAATTTCTTACCTGCCTTTCCTTGTACCTCAAGGCAGGAAACAGCAGTCAAAACACACAAACATTGCTAAACTGCTATAAACACACACATATTAAAACATAGTTCTATAAAAGATACATATTCAAACACATTTCTATACAATCTTCTATACAAACAAAAATGTAATGTCCGTTTGTAGGATTAGCATAATTCAAAAACCACTGGATGAATTGACACGAAATTTGGACACAATACACCTATCAGGCCAACCAGTGACCATCACTCATAAAAACGCTGAAAAAAGCAGTGGAAGGGACTTAAAAAGCCAAAAAAAAGCAAAAAGATGCTACAGCACATGTGCAAAACGACTCCCACTGGCAAATAAAACACACAATAGCATATCCACACTCTCTTTTAAAAATAACGATCAGTACGAGACACACAACTTGTTGATCTTTTACATATTTTTAAAAAAAATAGAAGCAGGGATTTTTAGACTGAGGGTGCTGTCCTGGGCAAGGTCAGTGGTAACAGGCTTAAGCGTTGACTCTGCCTCTGGCCATTGTACCTTTTCAGGCTTGGTGTCCCAGCACTCCACCATCAAGGCCTGCATTCGGTGGAACTGGACCTCTTCCGAGCGGCCCAGGATGGGCCGGATCCCTTTGGAGAGCTTCTTTGCAATCTGGAGCTGATGCTGCCCAAGGACAGGTCGCTGCCCAGACAACAGCTCATAGAGCACCATCCCATAGGAAAACATGTCAACCTGAAGCAAGCACGACAGAAGAGGGAGAAAGAACCAGAGAACATTCAATACATATTCCAGGCTTTTAGTTTCTTAACACATTCCCTGTTGGACTGAATAGCATTTTCCATTTTTACTTCAACGACAGCAAAAATCCAACCAAGGTTCATAGAATCATAGAGTTGGAGGAGACCACATGGGCCATCTAGTCCAACCCCATTACTTACTTACTTACTTACTTAGGCGATCCCTCATTGGCCGAGTAGGATAGTCTTCCAGGATCAGAATTCTTGTGAGTGTAGGTGACTGTGGAGCCCTATTCTTGATCTGCATCTTCTCCCACAGTGAGGGCATTGCTTTCCAGGTGGAAGGCGGTCCCGGTCGGGGTTGGCTTGATGCGCCTTCCTCTTGGCACGTTTCTCTCTTTCACCCTCCATTCGTGCCTCTTCAAATTCTGCAGCACTGCTGGTCACAGCTGACCTCCAGCTGGAGCGCTCAAGGGCCAGGGCTTCCCAGTTCTCAGTGTCTATGCCAGAGTTTTTAAGGTTGGCTTTGAGCCCATCTTTCAATCTCTTTTCCTGTCCACCAACATTCCGTTTTCCATTCTTGAGTTCGGAGTAGAGCAACTGCTTTGGGAGACGGTGGTCGGGCATCCGGACAACGTGGCCGGTCCAGCGGAGTTGATGGCGGAGGACCATCGCTTCAATGCTGGTGGTCTTTGCTTCTTCCAGCACACTGACGTTTGTCCGCTTGTCTTCCCAAGAGATTTGCAGGATTTTCCGGAGGCAGCGCTGATGGAATCGTTCCAGGAGTTGCATGTGATGTCTGTAGACAGTTCACGTTTCACAGGCATATAGCAGGGTTGGGAGGACAATAGCTTTATAAACAAGCACCTTGGTATCCCTACGGATGTCCCGGTCCTCAAACACTCTCTGCTTCATTCGGAAAAATGCTGAACTCGCAGAGCTCAGGCGGTGTTGTATTTCGGTGTCAATGTTGACTTTGGTGGAGAGGTGGCTGCCAAGGTAGCGGAAATGGTCAACATTTTCTAACGTTACACCATGAAGCTGTATTTCTGGCATTGGAGAGGGGTTGGCTAGTGAGCGCTGGAAGAGCACTTTGGTTTCCTCAATGTTCAATGACAGGCAAGCTTCTCGTATGCTTCTGTGAAGGTGTTAAAGTCCAAAACACAAGCAAAGCATCCCCAACAAATGGCCATCCAGCCTCTGTTAAACAGTTTCCAAGGAAGGAGCTCCACTGCTTCACTACAGTGGAAGTTCAGGTGGAATTCCTTCCCGGTCTCAATCATTGAGTCCTAGTCTCCAGGGCAGCAGAAAACAAGCCTGCTCCCTCTTTCTTATGGCATCCTTCCACATATTTATACATGGTTTCTCTCATGTCTCCTCTCCACCTTCTCTTCTGAGGCTAGCCAGACCCTCCTTTAAGACGCTCCTCAGAGGGATTATTCATGGTCTCCAGACATTTGACCCTTTCAGACACCCTCTTTTTCTGTTCACCTTCCAGGTTAGAGTCAATATCTCTTTTGAACTGCAAGTATTGCTGCTCACATATTATAGATCCGTAACTTTGGGATAAGGATTGGCTCTGAGGGCTGGGCCGGTCTGGCTGGGCGCACGCCACGGCTGGAAGAGGCGGCTGCTCCCCCTCGCATGAGGAGGCAGGCCGGCGGCGACTCTGGACGCGCGCCGGGCCCTTCCCGTGGATCGCCCCAGCTGCGGCGGGTGTCGCCGGGTCCTCCCCCCTCCGCGGGGGACGGGTTGGGCGGGCGTCCTGCCTCGGCCGGCGCCTAGCAGCTGACGATTCTATAGATTTTGATTAAACAGTGTAATTGAAATAGGAATACGGAATAATGGATTTATTTATTATTTTATTTATCGTGTCATCAGCAACCATTATATTACAATTCTAACAGAGCAAAACAAACACACAGATTAAAAAGAAAAAGAAAAAAAAACACACAGATTTTGCAAATTTGGTAGTTGGTTAAATGTCCTTTGACCAGTATCTGGCCACTTGGAGTGCCTCTGGTGTTGCCGCAAGAAGGTCCTCCATTGTGCATGTGGCAGGGCTCAGGGTGCATTGCAGCAGGTGGTCTGTGGTTTGTTCTTCTCCGCACTCGCATGCCGAGGATTCCACCCTGTAGCCCCATTTCTTAAGATTGGCTCTGCATCTCGTGGTGCCAGAGCGCAGTCTGTTCAGCGCCTTCCAAGTCGCCCAGTTTCTGTGTGCCCAGGGGGGAGTCTCTCATCTGGTATCACCCATGGATTGAGGTGCTGGGTTTGGGCCTGCCACTTTTGGACTCTCGCTTGCTGGGTGTTCCAGCGAGTGTCTCTGTAGATCTAAGAAAACTATGTCTTGATTTAAGTCGTTGACGTGCTGGCTGATACCCAAACAGGGGATGAGCTGGAGATGTCTCTGCCTTGGTCCTTTCACTATTGGCTGCTACTTCCCAGCGGATGTCAGGTGGTGCAATACCGGCTAGATAGTGTAATTTCTCCAGCGGTGTGGGGCGCAGACACCCTGTGATAATGGGGGACATGAGAGAAGCCTCCTCACAGAATTGCAAGACATCCGGGCGTCCCCTGGGCAACGTCTTCGTAGATGGCCGATTCTCTCGATCCTGATTAAACAGTGTAATTGAACATAGGAATAGGGAATAATGGATGATGAGACTGGATTCTGATTTTACTGTTGAGGCATTAATGATTGTTATACTGATGTTTAATGATTTACGTTACAATTGTTTTTAATTGCCCTATATTTGTTTCGTGATGTTTTGTATCGATGTTGTTCACCGCTTTGAGTCGCCTGAGCTTGTTGAGAGGTTGCAGGTTCGATTCCAGGGAGTGGCGTGAGCTTCCGCTGTCAGCCCTAGCTTCTGCCAACCTAGCAGTTCGAAAACATGCAAATGTGAGTAGATCAATAGGTACCGCTCCGGCGGGAAGGTAACGGCGCTCCATGCGGTCATGCTGGCCACATGACCTTGGAGATGTCTATGGACAACGCTGGCTCTTCGGCTTAGAAATTGAGATGAGCACCACACCCCAGAGTCAGACACGACGAGACTTAATGTCAGGGGACAACCTTTACCTTTACCTTTTATACTTGTTTCGTGATTTTTGTATTGATGTTGTTCACTGCTTTGAGTCGCCTGAGGGCTGAGAAAAGCAGTATATAAATAAAGTAAATAAATAAAGTAAATAAATATACACAGTCTGGATGGCCATCTGTCAGGGGTGATTTGAATGCAATATTCCTGCTTCTTGGCAGGAGGTTGGACTGGATGGCCCATGAAGTCTCTTCCAACTCTTTGATTCTATGATTCTATGATTCTATGACCAAGCACGGACCAACTTGCCCCCCCTCCACCAGGTGTTTTGGACTAACTCCCACCATTCCTAACAGCCTCAGGCCCTTCCCTTTTTTCCTCAGCTGCTTAAGCAGAAAGGGAAAAGGAAAAAGAGGGTCCTGAGGCTGTTAAGAAAGGTAGGAGTTGAAGTCCAAAACACCTGGAGGGAGGCCCAAAGCTTGCCCATGCTTGGTCTAGCAGACACTATATGGATGCAGCCTAGAACCGCACTGGATGTACCTTTTCATCATAGACAATCCGGGGCCGTATCTCCGGGGCTTGATAGCCAGGCGTCCCCTCCACACCGAGGGCCCCTTCGTGGAAGGACTGCCGGGAAATCCCATAGTCCGACAGTTTGATATTGACGCTCTCCTCCATGGCCAGAGACCACACCAGGATGTTGTCGGACTTTAAGTCACAGAAAATGATGCTCTTCTTATGGAGGTAGGCCAGGCCAGCTGCAATCTGGTATGCCGCTTTCAAGGTCAACATGTGCCCTAGTGGCACAAAAGATGCTCCTGGAAGAAGAGAGAGAGAGAGAGAGAGAGAGAGAGAGCAGAACATGGTACCGAGTTCAGGACACACTTCCTTGGCTGCCATTGTTTTGGAGAGAAGCAAGGTACAACAGAAACAACAAACGCTATGTCACAAAATTTAAAAAGTTTTCTGTTCCTGGGTTGAAAGTGTTATTTCTTGTTTCATTGTGCAGTCCTTACTTTGAAAGGAGTTGTTTGACTCTAGAAACTGCTACAAAGTCGGTTGAATTAGTTGAGATTCTATGGGATATCCACAGAATTAGAGTTGGAAGAGAACACATGGGACATCTAGTCTAACCCCCTGCCATGCAGGAAAAGCACAATCAATGTCAGCTTGTTCTCCACAAAGACTCTCTGATGTCAGCTTGTTCTCCACAAAGACTCCAAGGTCTTTCTCACATAGGACTCTGTTAAGCCAGGCGACACCCATCCTGTCTCTTTGCATTTCATTTTTTTTCTTGCTAAGTTTAGTATCTTGCCTTTCTCCTTGCTGCAATTCATTTTATGAGTTTTAGCCAATCAGCTCTCTGACCTGTTAAGGTCATTTTGCATCCTGATCCCGTTCTCTGGAATATTAGCTTTCCCTTCCAATTTGGTGTTGTCTGCAAGCTTGATCGGCCTGCCCCCTAAACCTTCATCCAAGTCATTAATGAACAGTACTGAGACCCTCTTAATGGCACTCCAAATAGTCTTTTCTTTCCAAGATGAAGAAAAGGAACCATTGGGGAGAAACACCCTTTGGGTTCGGTGGCTTAACCAATTACAGATCCACCTCATAGTAGCCTTGCCTAGCCCACATTGAACTAGTCTGTTTACAAGGAGGTCAAGGAGGGCTTTGTTGAAGGCCTGACTAAAAAATGATTGCAAAATGTGAAATAGCAGGATGATGTCCTTCCTGCAAAGACAAAGTTTGTGCAGTTTAATAAACTTTCACTGTGTTTTTATGACAGAATCAACTAGGAAATGAACTTTATAACCCAGGAACAAGAATCACAGTGTGAGAGGGGGCAACCGCTGGACCTACAACCCACTCCTGTTTAAGGAGGCCCATCCTGTCACCTTTGGTGTTTTCTGCAAGCACCGTGGTGAGGCTTCCCAACGGGGCCAGCTCTAAGGCCAAGCAGAGCGGGTGGATGCTGATCCCAACCAAGGAGACGATGCAAGGATGCTGCAGGGAGTGGAGCATGCAGGCTTCCTGGCGGAACTCGGAGAAGGTCTTCATGGCATCCATGGCTCGCAGGTGCCTCAGCATTGTGTCTGCAGGGAAGAAAGGGCACAACGTCATTGAGTTACACTCATGAATGCATGGAGGGACCCCTCCATGCATCGACTCAAGAACCATATTTCTAATGGGAACCAGTCAACCATTGATGGGAGGTCAGTGAAAACAACAACAACAACAACAACAAAACAGTAAATAAAGAGCAACACTCAAAAAACAGGTGAAATCCAGACAATAATCAATCAGAGCCAGCTAACGCCTCCTAACAAAGGATCTCCCCAGGCAGCAACCAGGCAGGGTTTGAAGCTGTAAGGCCATTAAATGCTAATCAAGGTGGTCAACTGCCACGTTCACACTTGTGTCCAACATTTTATTTATTTATTGTGTCAGGGGCAACCAGACAATTGTATTACATTTCTAACAGAATAAAACAAACAGACAAAATACAAAATTTGCAGGCTTGGTAGTTGATTAAATGTCCTTTGACCAGTATCTGGCCACTTGGAGTGCCTCTGGTGTTGCCGCAAGGAGGTCCTCCATTGTGCATGTAGCAGGGCTCAGGTTGCATTGCAGCAGGTGGTCAGTGGTATGCTCTTCTCCACACTCGCATGTTGTGGATTCCACTTTGTAGCCCCATTTCTTGAGGTTGGCTTTGCATCTCGTGGTGCCAGAGCGCAGTCTGTTCAGTGCCTTCCAAGTTGCCCAGTCCTCTGTGTGTCCAGGGGGGAGTCTCTCATTTGGTATCAGCCATTGGTTGAGGTTCTGGGTTTGAGCCTGCCACTTTTGGACTCTTGCTTGCTGAGGTGTTCCAGCGAGTGTCTCTGTAGATCTTAGAAAACTATTTCTTGATTTAAGTCATTGACGTGCTGGCTGATACCCAAACAAGGGATGAGCTGGAGATGTCTCTGCCTTGGTCCTTTCACTATTGGCTGCTACTTCCCGGCGGATGTCAGGTGGTGCAATACCGGCTAAGCAGTGTAATTTCTCCAGTGGTGTAGGGCACAGACACCCCGTGATAATGTGGCATGTCTCATTAAGAGCCACATGTATTGTTTTAGTGTGGTGAGATGTGTTCCACACTGGGCATGCATACTCAGCAGCAGAGTAGCATAGCGCAAGGGCAGATGTCTTCACTGTGTCTGGTTGTGATCCCCACGTTGTGCCAGTCAGCTTTCGTATGATGTTTCTAGCGCCCACTTTTTGCTTGATGTTTTTTTGCTTACGGCATGTCTCATTAAGAGCCACATCTACTGTTTTAGTGTGGTGAGATGTGTTCCACACTGGGCATGCATACTCAGCAGCAGAGTAGCATAGCGCAAGGGCAGATGTCTTCACGGTGTCTGGTTGTGATCCCCAGGTTGTGCCAGTCAGCTTTCGTATGATGTTGTTTCTAGCGCCCACTTTTTGCTTGATGTTCAGGCAGTGCTTCTTGTAGGTCAGAGCACGGTCCAGAGTGACTCCCAGGTATTTGGGTGCGCTGCAATGCTCCAGTGGGATTCCTTCCCAGGTAATCCTCAGAGCTCGGGATGCTTGTCTGTTCTTAAGGTGAAAGGCACATGTCTGTGTTTTAGATGGATTAGGGATCAGCTGGTTTTCCCTGTAGTAGGCAGTAAGAGCACCTAGAGCTTTGGAGAGCTTCTTGTTCTACCATCACAAAGCTCCCTGCTTGAGCAGTAATAGATGAAACCCTCTGTCCCTTCTGGCAGTGTGTCCAACAGACAAGTGTTCTTTCTCACACCCTGGACATTCCACAGATATATAAACCCACTTGCCTAGTTTCCAACAGACCTCACAACTTCTGAGGATGCCTGTCATAGATGTGGGTGAAACGCCAGGAGAAAATGATTCTGGAACATGGCCACACAGCCCAGAAAACTCACAGCAACCCAAACTCTTTGAAACTTTAAAGATTGAACTGGCTTTTAACTCTCTTGAGCTGTGGGGCCCAGAATTGGACACAGTGCTTCCAGGTAAAGAGTCCTGTGCCTGATTCTCATTTCCCATTCCATGCATTTCTAGGATTTTTAAAAAAACATCCCAGCTTTAATTTGGGAGCCTAGAAAGATCTGTTCAAACACCCCAACCGTCTTACACTCTTCACTCCCAAGATGGGTGCTGTTTGCACTGTATTGAAACTTGGGCTATTTAAAACTGGCCGGTTATTTGCTTCTAAACAGGAAAAGTGAGGGAGGGAAAGGCTCAGCAATACCGTACCTGTCGCGGAGCAGGCAGATCGCTGGCATTTCTTAATCTGAAACCGCTTCACTGCCACCGGTTTGCCTTGGTACTGGGCCTGGTATATAACGGTCCCGCTTCCTCCTTGGCCAAGAACATTGCTTTCATTTTCAGCATACTCCAGTCTGCTGTTTTCCAAGAATAACCTGCAAGGAATGAGGACAAGGCGAGGAGAGAAGGAAACAAACAATGGCTTCAGGATCACCGATACATCGAAAAGGAGACTGTAGTAAAAGCAGAAGAAATCTTGGTCTGTATAGAGGAATTAGACAATAAGGACGTCGGTCAGGACCATGCATGCCATACCATTTCATTGATTCCTATGCACGGGTATGAATACGTGAAAGTCAAGGGGAAATTCCTTATAAATAAACCATGTAACAGAAAAACTAGGAGGGGTTTGCCCACGATGGGCTGGCTGCCACTAATGGGAAACAACCTGAAGTTACACAATAACAACAAAAGCACACTCCAACTTATAATAATAATAATAATAATAATAATAATAATAATAATGACAAAATTACCATGTCTGCTGCAAAAGGCCACCTAACTGGGATCTGCACGCATTATTCGCCGATACATCACATAGTCTTAGATACTTGGGAAGGATTCAGTGTGTGATCCAATACAACAACCAGTATAGAGATTTTGTTTGCTGTGGACTCAGCTTGTGGTATTTCAAATAATAATAATAATTCTTTTAAAAAATTGGCTGATTGACATGTTTTTCTCTCGTCATTTAGCATAACAGCAGTTTTGATACTGAAAGAACTCTTTGTGGCTAATGATATAACTTAAACTACGGAAGTGATATCATTCAAGGAGCTCCACT